GAGCTCAAGAAGAAGGAGGAGCGCCCGGCGTTAGCCGGCGATCCGACTGGTTGCTATATATTTTGCTATGCTCTTATCCTTCGGCACTGTCAGCTTTGGCCATCAATATCAAGTTTTCGGCCAAATCAATGAGATACAGACGCAAAAAATCATTCTACCTATTGAATCTAACTTTCATTAGAGTTGACGTCATGACTGAGAGCTTTGTGAAACATTCTCTTCGGCAACATTTGCTGATATTGCAGTGCTGTCTGCCATCTCTTGCCGACGTTTCGCTACCCGGCGTGCATTCTTGTGCCTTCTTCCTGCGAGGTGTTTAGTCCTAAAACATTCCTGTGTATTTGCAAGAGGTTTTCTTGAAATTATTCCAGAATGTTTACTACTTTTCACTACCGAAGTTTAAACAGATTAAGCAAGAATTCCTATCCACCAAGAAACGACGTGCTTCAACGGTCAGTTAGGGCGAGGTGTCGCAGGAATCGCGAGAGTTGGGGTTTTTGGCATTGTATGTGGAGGAATAAGAACTGATTCGAAGGGGTAGGATTTCTCTGAAATTCAAAAATTCCCACCCAACATTCCAATCCCAAAATTTTTGTCCTCCGGTGATGTGGAAGTACTACAAGCGCGATCTACCTCCCGCTGCAACAGATGTGTAGTCTTTGGAGGTCTCAATAGCTAATTCGTTGCAGCTTAGTTTTTTTAACTTCTAACTTTTAACTTTAATTTTTAAAGCTTTCTCATGGTGGCATAGACCTCAGGTGAAGGCAAAACGACACACTCACCAGTTCCTTGTTCCTGCCACAAAAATTTCACACACTTCGCAATATCGCGTCATGTTCGCATCTTCACTGTTTTCAACTTCACCAGTGAACTGAAATGTGTTTTTTCAGTTCTATCAATTAATGCTGAAAACCCCACAAATACTTATCCTTGACTTCAAATGGCAGTACAACAGCCCCAAGTACTCCACATCCCACGGGTAGAGAGGGCGTGACTGCCCATCATGTGAACTTTGCAGGGAATGTGTTTCTCTTGGGACGTTTCATTTGAGACAACAGTCATGTTGTCTAATGCTGCACAAACGTAGGATATCTGTTGTCTCAAATCAGCAGCACACCATCAAAAGCGAACCCGTCCACACATTTGAACATTAAGTCCCGCCCGCCCTCCCGCCCTCCCCACCTCCGAGGTCTTGGATGTGTACCCTGCAGAGGATAAAAAACCAATGGAAATCAACGCTATGCAGAATTTGCACATCTATGATCAATAGATTCTCCAGTTTCCTCCAGTTCTCCAAGGTTCTCCCATTTCCTTGGCTACCTATACTAATAATCCAAAGGGACATGTCAACTATCATGAAGAAACAGGCCGAGTAGCCCTCTCCAAAAGGAAAAAAATCAAGTCCATCAGACTGCCACACTCATTCTTTGCATCCAGACAGGTCGATCTGGCGAGTATGCTGAAGGAGGGAATTTTCCATATATGCGCAAACTAAATAAGGCGGCGTTAAATTGAAAACGAAAACTGTTGGAGGACATAACCTATACGCAATGGACATATGGGCCAAAGCGGCAACCAGCTTGTAAAAGTATACAATCGTACTCACCTCTTCTTTGAAGTCACAACCGCTCATCCACTGTTCTACTATGTGCAGGCCGTCGGCAAGGAAAGTTTCGCTGTTAGAAGTATCCAGCTTTTTCAAGGATGGGACCTAAATGAGAATGCTTGAAATTCATTCCTACTGTACTTGCCCCTTATGGTTGTCGTTGTAAAACTTTGAGTTCCCGCTTTGGCCGTTGCACAAAGTTCTGCAATAAAATCGTCATACACAGCAGCATTGAACGCTCGCGACCGCTCGCTTAGTTTTCATGTATAACGCTGGCCCTGCTACACACCCTTCTCGATCCCCATTGATTAATATAAACTGAAGATTCGGTTGAAGAACCAACCTCTCTGGCTTCCTGTCGTCGGACAAATCGTGAATTCACCCAATTTCGTTGTCTTCGTGCGTACTGTCGTGTATGTAGTTTGACATCGTCGCACCTTCAATGGAGCAAGAACGTGGAAAATGTTAAGGGTAATAATAACGACAATGATACAATTTTGTTCGCTGCGGATGAAGGGGCGTGTCAGTGAGGCTGAGTTTGGCGGGCAGGGCAGCCAGTCCGTTTTCTACCAATTGTTGAAGCGAGTAAACGCCAATAATCGGTAGAGAACGACTGATCCAAACGATACGAAACAGTTTTGGCGCTTGTCGAGAAAAAGGGGCCGGCGCCTCGCCAATTCCCTCCTCCCTGAAACGCCCATCATTTGCAGCGAATATGTCTGTAGTTCTGATCATAGAGGAAATATAGAGCTCACCCTTTTTCAAAAAGAATTTCGCCTTTCGGAGATGACCTGTCTCCTTTTGACAACTCTAAATAGGGGACAAATTCTTTCAATCCAATGCACTGCAGTACTCCAAAGTGTTCTCTGTTTATAAGTTTATCCCGGTTCTGAAATTATAAAAGCATGAAAAAATATAAATCCAGAACTTCCTAGCAATTTACCTCATCGTAGTAGTCTTCCAACTCTTTTCTCAATCCCATTCGCTTCATCTTTTCAACCCTATTGTCTAACCGTTTCGCAAGTACTTCTTTTGCTGCGTCTAGTGAGAGCACCTAAAAATTAGATGCGTCAAAATAAATAATAATATCTGGTCTCTGCTACATCGTAGATGAAAGGTCACGCTGCGTTCATACTTCGCGAGACGAGCTAATCTCACAATCTGTGATTCGGGCCACTAGGGCGAATAAGCTCCATCGCTAATCGGACCGCTGCAACCACTACTTCAATTGGGTTAGGCCAGAACTAACTCTGACCCCAGGGCTCGCACGTATATGTATATAATATAATAAAAATCCTTACCAAGGACTCGCGAAAACGCAGGCGGCCGCCCAGATCGCGTAAACCATTAGATTCCTTTTGTGCACGCAAGAACTCACTTTTCTTTTTCCCTGGAACACAGCACAGAATATGAAAACTAAGGCATTTTTCGGATTTACAGTTGCAGGAAAAAACATATTGTAAAGGGGTAGGAAGGTGCACACCTAGTAGAGGCTAGTGGATAACGTGACAGAGGACAAGGTTGTTATGTGCTGCTTGCCAACGATATCGTATATTATATTTGCCTTTGCCACCACTTACACTTTACCGCCCACTTTTTGAAAATCAGCCTAGATTTCGAGCCAGCTTTTCCCAAAGGCTTAGATTTTGTGAGAAACGTGTCCTCGGGGTAGTTTATAAATTCTGCGGAAATCACATCCGCTTGGCGTAGATACGCGCACGCTCTTGTAAAGGAAATACCTGGAACCCGCTTTTGTCGCAAGGATCTCCGAATCAATGTGACATTCGTATTCAGGGAGTCAACCTCGGATGATGAGTTGCCAGCAAAATCGTTAACTTGAGATGTTTTGCCGCCTAGGCCTGGAGCGTGGGCGTTGTTTTTTCAATGGGGATATCTCTATATCTCCGGAACTTCTCGTAAGCCCGCATTCGAGACCTGATTTTTGCAAAACGAACATAAGGGATAAATAATTCACGGTTATCCAGCAACAGTGGGGTGTGGCCGAGCGTCCTCTTGCAGCCCTTCTAAAAGTTGCGTTGGCAGCAACCGCCCTTTCCCTGCCATCATGCCCACTGTTCAGTTCAAAAGTCTGGCTGGGGCGCATATTCGAGTTAACAGTGCGAATATTCTGAATGTTTTATTCAACACTTTCTCTTCTGGATCGGCCTGGACACCGCAAACAATTGAATTACTAGGCGAAGCAAAGTAGTTGCCAGAAGTCTCACCTGTAAGGTTGTATACCTGAATAGCCCGTAAAACTCGTGCACGATTATTTGGATGGACAAGGCGTGCCGAATCTGGATCCACCTAAAAAATTCCTTTTCTAATAATCTTCTGAATTCAAATCTTCAAAGGTAGGTCTTAAATTAAGAGCACTAATGAGAGACCAACCGCAAACTGATTACAATCAATAGTGACAGCTCTTTGTGCAGCACTGGCTGCCTTCTATTGACCGCAATTTCCTGTCGCCCGTTCTAACGAATGTCCAAAAAATCCGAAAGGATTTACCATAACTGTCTTTTCACCCTCTTAGAACTTCTCTAGTTATACGATGGAACTTACCTCAACCAACCTTTGATGTAGTTCAGCATTTGACAGCTCACTAAGACCTTCACTACCATCAGAGTCATTTTCAGATCCGTAAAAAGAATCCTACTGCGAAACATCACATCAGATTAACACAAATTACTCACACGAGAATGGAGCAGTGGAATATCAACATCAAAAACTTCAAACAAATCTGAATTCGAATCATCAATAACACCTGGATGTTTCGATTATATTTTCCTCAAAATAGAAAGACTTTCAAATAGTAGCGCCAATCCAGTACGGCGACTCACAAGCAGGATAATGGCGGTCGCAGGACATCTTATTTCCTGTAAAGAAAAGGTGGCTCTAAATGAAAAATAAGAGAGGAAGGAGGGAAATAAAATTATACATTAGGACGAAGATAACACGACAAGAGTTTATTATAAGTTTCAAATTAGCATGACAACTGTTTACAACTCCGCCCGGCTGCGTGGATCCATTGATGAATGATCAAGTCATATCAAACTAGTATTATGGGAATTCTGTATCAAACAAATGTCGAAATCCTGGACCACGAATGGAGTATACCAATGACGGCGAACACTTTTGCCAGACACTCAGATCTTGAACAGCCACTCGTCATCAGTGAGACCGCCAGCAGGCAGACACATTGCATATGCAATCGTTGCGCGTGTTCGAAACCTGTGCGAGCTTCAGTTGAATTTAAAAACATGAAAGAACTCCAGTATTACAGACTGCCACTTCACTGCCAGTCACCTTGAAAATCGCGAAAGCGGACATTTTCTACAGCTCTAGACCAAACCCACTTTTTCCATGAAACCAACTCACTTTTTTTCTCACGCGGGAAAGCGGGAAGCGTTTAAAGCTAAAAGGTAAAAACTATATACATGTTGTTTAGCTGTAAGCTGTTGACCATACACTGTTGTTCACAACTTACGATACCTTCATAAGGGTAAATATTCAAAAGCAACTTTCCACGTAACCTACCTCAACTTGCCTTTAGACCTTCTGCACGGAACTGATGAATGTTGTACCTTGCTGTAGCAGCGTCAACAAAACTCATCATGTGATGAGGAATCCCTTCTGCCTCTTCTTTGGTTATCTTGTTTGTGGCAATGTCGAGTCCTGAAAGTGAGATTGCTCGATTTGAGCATAATCATTTCAGGGATGCAGTCAAAAGAGTAAGACATCGTGGGATGCTGCACAGGGTCCGTCAGTGAACGCAGTCCTGCCACTCTCCAGTTTATAGCATGGCTATCAGAGCGAGATTGTTCCCTTCATTAGAAACAAAGAAAAATCCATTCAAGAGAGATTTGTCTCACTCCCGAATATGACGATTTTCACAAAAGAAAACGTAGACGATAGTGGAAATAAAGACATAACGTGACTGAGCTTCAAGACAAACCGAACATACAGTCCTCATCATTGCGGACTGTCGGAGGGCGGCTGTGCAACGCGGTCCAAATGGGCGTTCGGCCTCGTTGCTCTACCAATGGCGATCGGGTAAAGATCGATTTAGGGAGGGAGCAACCAATGATGGAAACGCCGCAGGTGCGAGCCGCTGATTGCGACCCGACAATTGCAGGTGATGTAAAGTGTATACCTTCAAGGATGGTCCTTTCCATGTGTCGAGGTGAACTGGTTCGCACTTGCAAGAAGTGCCATTTATCCCGCTCAGCATGACAACAGTGCTGGAGAGGAATGTGCGGCACTTACGTCCAAACCAAGATCCCGTCGTGAACACAACCAGAAGTGAGGGGACGCCGACAATTAGCGCGTTTAGCTATGGGCAGCTGTACCAGCCGTCCACGCAAGGCAAGGACCATAGTCCAGAGACTAGTGTACGCTCTGAGTTCAAGCAGTCTGTAGACCAGTTAGAACGAGGAGTTCACAATACACAAGTCACGCATGCGCTGTACTGTTGCCCCTACGTGGGGCAACACGTTCATATTGACGTAGGGTTAAAACCGTCTTTAAAACTCATGCTAAGTTTGTTTCTTCCACAAGCTCATTGTTTCTTTCACAGCTGTATGTAAAGAAAGAATACATTCATAAACGTCTCAACTAGTGACTTGTTGAAGGCTTTTATGGCGCAGTTTGTCGACGGGGGGGGGGGGGGGGCATTTTGCTTTCCATAGATGTGTCGACCCATCTAGGCAGCCGTTTCTCGAGTTGACACGTTTTAGGATAGTGGCTAGACGATCTTACTTCAGCTTCACAAGAGTTCACAAGTTTTACCAGAGTGAGATTTGTAAACCGGAACTAGGGAAGCAATGATAATACAAAATGCCCCCCCCGTCGACAAACAGCGCCGGCTTTTATACCATGCTGACCACTTCTTCCGTGAAATTCCATTTAACACTTATAGACACATTACGGATTCGCTGTTCGTGTGCTTCTGGAGCCATCTATGAAATCCTAGATGCTGGCTGACCTGCTCATGAAGAAAAGGGCGGAGGAAATTGTTGAAGACCTCTCAACTGAGACCAGTACGTATTTCGAGAAGCGAAAAGCAGGTGCACGAGAGACCAGAGAGAAACAGAGAGACAAGCTGGACGTCTTACATAGAATGCGCGCGATGCATCATACCCTACACGTATTTATAGATACTTCCGCTTTATATAAGGAGAGACGGGACCGCTAGCATATATCGACCCATATGATTGAGGTAACTTCTCACTTGCTTTCTTATGTTCATGATTAGTGAACCGAGTTTCGGAGAGGCATTTACTGAACAAACTCATTCAAACACACGGCCACAGCCGCAACGCAGGTCCTCGAGTGCAGTGTACAGTTCGCACCAACTATCACTTACCCTTGGTCACGCTTGGAAAGTACATATGACATGTGCTCCTTATTCGTGCAAATTCTAGTGAAATTTCTTCACACTACCCACCTTTATAAATTTGCATCGAGTCGGCGCTTATCACTTCGCCATTGTACTTCTTCGCTATTGCCACACCGAGATCACTTTTACCAGTCCCAGTGCAGCCAATGACAAATATAACCTGAATATTTCACATTTTGTGCGCATTTTAACAAGCAAGTAGCCTAGTAGTACGGAAATCTACTCAAGAGTCAAAGATATCTTACTGGATCTTTCCGCGTCATCATCAACTTCGGGTACCTTAGGTTATGTAGCCAGGTAAACAGCCTCAGCATGCATGGGTCAAGCACAGAACTGCAAAACAGAAACAATTTCCGAAAAACGGTCCACGTCTGTACTGCACTAGGGTACGTGGAAGGAAATAAACTGAGATGCACTGATTTCTGTGAAAATTTGAAGTAGAATACAGAAAAGACTTTTGGACAAGACAAGGAATTTCATCGAAACAATTTATTATAAATCAATATAGCAAACTGAGAATGTTAACAGTTAACAACTACATGGATTACAGATCATTTCCTATCCTCAAAGAATTTTTTGACACGTTCCAGCGCTTTCGCTCTATGGCTTATCGTGTTTTTCGTCGCTTTGTCCATTTCAGCAAAGGTTTGCAGAAATCCCTCTGGCTAAAACGTTCACTTGAGAGTTATTACCAGCAAACCGTTACCCGTCCATAAGATGAAAATACCTGGAAACAAGGATCCCATCCAAAATCCGGAGGTCCACGTGGGCTCACTATATGTCCTGGACAGCGACCTGAAAGAGACCCAGTCCGCAAAAGAATTACCACGTCAAACGGTGTCTACGTTTCATCAATTTCCTGCCCGCTTATTTCTGTCTTTCACTCTGTTAGAAGGATTCCTTCGGTTGAAGAAGGATTCCTTCGGTTGATCATTTTGCTTTTCGTGGTCTTCCTTCTTCTCTCTACTTTGCCCCTTTTGTCGAAAAATGGTGGACTTCTTCCGAAAACAAGCCCTATTCCTTCAGCTGGCCCAGTGCTTCGCCAGAGCTCCAGGAAATTTGAGGATAGGCTGCCGGTATACATTCATATCTGCACATCGCATATGAATCGGTGTTTCGAGGTATTAAACGACTAGGAAAGTTTGAGCATCGATCCAGCGCTTGCCTACCTCAATGTAAGGCAGGGTTTTCAGCGACTATAGAAGTCAGAGCATGCTCAAAACGCTAAACCGATCCCTACTCTTTCCGTATACACAGGCATGCGCTCGAAACGATGATCGATGCCTAGACTTTATGATCGCACGAAGCGACGTACGCTTTAAACGCTGCCGCAAAGTACGAATTTACCATCTGCAGGCTGATCAAACTGATCCAAAGTAAACTTGCTATAATGCGCCAAGTCAACCCTAGAAAAAAAAGACATAGTTGCCGCGTCTGACCGAATCTCCTGACCGCCACCCCACAATTTAGAACGAACGCACAGAGAGACAGCTCCATAGTCAGAAACACACGTACACACAAACACAAACAGACTTTCATGTATGTGAAAGGGATTGGTGATTAAGCAACTGACCTCTAAATATGTGCACAGGTTGTCCTTTACCCTCAGTGAAAGCGAAAATACATTGTGCATAGGCCGACTTGTCATCATATCCGGCTGTAATATGTGCCTTTAGACAAAATCTCATTTCTTCTCAATAAATCTGCCTGATCTGGAATCAATAAATCTGCCTGCAATCCGCCCACTCATGAAGAAACAAACCCGTCGTACCGAGTCGCAGAGCGTATTCATACTTCGCGATCTGGCGGCCCTGACCATGCGATCGCTAGTGACCGATCGGACACGGTGGATGAGGATTGCGTGAAGCGCACGAAGCTTGCAATTGGTGTCAACGCTGGCTAGCGCCGATTGCGCGATCAGAGTGACCAAATCGCCGCCAGCGAGTTCGAAGCGAGCAAATTGCGAACTATGGGCGCGCTCATACATATTACATACGACTTCGGTTCAAGGTACCGCTCCAATGTTTGGGATAAACCTGAGGTCACAGTGTTGGATACTACCTATAGAAGGGTGCGACACGCTCAATCAAGCTACTGTCAACTATGCAATACAATCAAATTAACTACGCCATGATAGCCCGGTTAATTTGCACGCACTGTGTCGGGCACTTTGTCTACAGTAGTAGGATAGGTTACTAACCAAGCATCTGGTACAAACCAGCTGGACCAAGCTTCTTCAGAAACCATTTGACGTATACACCTGGCAGACCTTTGAATGCGTTGAAGCATAGACTTGTGTCTTCCACCTTCAAAAATTGAGCATCGGATCAGATATTCGTGAATTTCGATCTAACCAATGTTAACAGTTATTCCTATTTTTACAAATCACTTCTTGCTGAATCGTGGCCTCATTCCGAGTGGGTTGACATGACTACGAAAAAATATGGAGTAGTAAAGTTCTACGAGCGGAATTCGAAAACTAGGTGCGTGATGTTTTCCGATATACACGTAACAAGTGATATCCCCAAAACTCCCAAATGGTTTTTCAAGAGAATGGAGGAAGAGAATTCACGAAACGAGATAGATATCCATAAGTTAACTCCGAATTGAGGGCTCAGTTCGTCAACTTCGCGTATTTTCGAGTCAAACTTTGAGGAATCTCGGTCTGCATGAAATACCGCAAAATAATTGAAGAACTAAATCTCACCAGTATTGGCCCTTGCACATGTTCGGCTGCCTCTTTTGCCTTACGCTCCGCCACATAATCAGGTTCACCTTGATATTCATCGATGTCTACATCAACAGCACGAACCTACATTAAACGTATATATCACTGCAAGTTTGGAACTCTGGAGTGTAACGACTGCTGGACAGAATACCATCTGAAACAGCCTTCACAATTTGAACTGGCACTATTTACCCTTTACTGCCCCAGCCATCCGAAATCAGGCCAGTTCCTGACCGACTTTTTTCTCCGTGGGCAGAATTTGCTGAAAACTTGGCTCCAGGGGTAGTTCGACCCGCTGAACACGAATATCGCATCCGCTTGACCCGAAACCTCCTGGCGCCCGCGCCACGGGCGCCGGCGCCAAAATACTCGAAATCACCAAATTCGCTGAAAACTTGCTCCCAGGGGTAGTTTGACCCCCTGAACACGAATATCACATCCGCTCAACCCGAAACCTCCTGGCGCCCGCACCACGGGCACCGGCGCCAAAATACCCCAAATCATTGGCGCCTGTGGCGCGGGCGCCAGGAAGTTTCGGGCTGAGCGAATGTGATATTCGTATTCTGGAGGTCAAACTACCCCAGGAGACAACATTTGAGCAAAATCTGCCCACGGAGAAAAAAGTCGGTCAGGAACTGGCCTGATTTCGGATGACTGGGGCAGTAAAGGGTAAATAGTGCCTTTGAACTATATTCGGACAAAAGGAACCCTCTATACCCTCATCCACACTTTGCGTCGGCGTTTGAGCCCCTGTCAGCTTTTGAGCGTTTTAGTGTTTCCAGTGACTAGGAAAGAGTTGACCCAGCGTTCTGAGCGCCCGCCAACGTTTTCTCTCTAGTGGACACTATAAACGCTGGATCGACACCTATACGTTTAGTCGCTCAAAAAACTGACGTACTCAAATCCAGAACGCCCTCATACTTCACCTCAGCGCTCCAGAACGCCCTCATACTTCACCTCAGCGCACATTTTTGACAGCTGAGGATATTCTTAATTCGGAATCTTCTAGAGCTAAAACCATGAACATACTGAGCACCATGGGCTTAGCTTTGACTAATTCCACAAACTATCAATCACGCCAGTAATTGCTCTTTTACCCTGCCGAATGTCGCCCCCGTCACCCCCCCCCCATCCCTACCGCAAAGGTGTTCATTACGTAGAGATTAAGAGACCTGTTTTTACCGGGTAAGACCTCCAAAATAAAAACATGCATGTGAACTATTCATCATCAGTCCAGAATCTGCACCTCTCTTCGCGAAAATAAGTAGAGAGCGCCCGTTCTCCTCTCCCTCCCATCCTAAGTTTCCCTCACCTTTCTCCTATTGGAAGTTATGGTTACATCAGTTGTTCATCCATACCGTTCTCCTACTCATTCTTACATACCTTGTGCTCAGAAATCAGAAGTACAACTGGTTATGATACCAGTCTAACTTTGAAAAAAAAATGGTGAGATCGAAACATTTATAGATGAAATACTTCCATCTGTATTCAAAAATGATCAAAAATTCACTATTCACAGAGAATAGCTGGGACCCAGTTTCTCGAGCTGAACCGCAGCGAAAACAATGAAATGTAATTCACAGGAACAAAAATTCACAGGTCATAGAAATATCTAAAGGTACTGTACGGCCACGTTGACAACTGAAATTCCCATTTTTCTTCAAGCTGACTTGGACATAGGAAGAACAAATTGTGTAAAGGCGCCACAATATGTAGCGTACAACAGCATTTTGAGCGACTAGGAGCGACACCGCCGCTTTGTGAGCTTTCGCAGGCATTTTTTGCTCAGGCTCAAAGGTGCACGCGAAAACGCTCGAAGTAACGATAAGCGCTCAAAACGCCAGATTGATATCCATACTTCCCTAGTCGCTGGCGCTGGCATACGCTCGAAACGCTTAGAACGTTGGCGTGCGCTGACAAAAAGTATGAACGCAGTCTAGAGGCCTTTTACAGGGATCATATCGCCAAACATGATAATATAAAAACCTATCGAAAGTAAAAAGATGAGAAGTGGAAATAACCTCAATTCATTCGTCGAGAACACTCTCCTTCAAGAGAACCAATCTTTGAGCAAATTATTAACAACAGAATGATCATCGCTATAACCAACACTAGTTCTAACATTCAGTGTTTCATGAGGACTCCAATCACTAAATGACGTTTGGGCCTCTTCATCTTTAGTCGAAGAGAGTAGGGTACTTGAATGAGATGACTCGTCTTCAGAGTAATTCGAAGAGGCCCATTCTTCAAACAATGTCGGACTTCCGTTGGACTTATGCGGAGGAGGTGGAGTACAATCTAGAGTCCTCGAGTATGGCTCCCTACGGTTACGATCCGACCACTTTTGCGGTTTTGAGTCCTCGTGTGACCTCGATTCAGCACCTCTCAGAATAGCCGAAATGGTTCCTTCCTTCGTTGGATAGGAGGTCTGTTCAACCACCTGTCGTTTCGTACGGTCCCATGCGGAAATCGCGTTCGCATATCGTACCTTTTTCTCATAGTCACGATGGATTCGTACAGCACCACAACCCCGCTGTCTCTTCCTCGGTGGCAGTTGAAAAACTGGTGGAGATGGGACTTTTGCTCGAGACAAATTGCTGGTTGGCCGTCTGGACGCCTTCAAAATCTCACCAATGTCCGACCGGTTCGTCTGTTCACACTCTGACACCCGTCTTGCCGCTGACAATATCGAATGGGTAAGCTGTTGCCCTCTGGTCATTGGCGTAGTAATGGGAGCTTTGTCCGCGTACCTCACTTCCACATCGATATTATATCGTTCCTTCGCCACCGGTGCCATCAAATGAGGAATGGTTGCCATGAATCCAGAGAACAGCGATATATTCTCAGGCGTACATCGTTTTGGAAACTTCAACTTCACGGGATTGTAACCATTGGCCGAGGTCATCTGAAGGATAAACACTTTTCATGCACACTTTACTAACCTCAAATGACGACAGTATCGCTCTCACTTCCGCCAACTTTCCAGCATTCCCAGTTACGAAAGTTATTGTACGCGACATGACTAAATTATATTTTTACAAAAAATGACCACTTGAATCGTCATTCAACGAAACCCAGAAAGCGTAGCAGTAAAGGAGTCAGGTTCAACTTGTTCGCAAACCCTCGTTAACGCGCCGCCAGCTATCTACAGCCGGATTTTTTTGATGAATCATCCCGTTGGTGGGAATCTTTACTTTCATAGATACTAGGCTAAGAAGTCCACCAACAACTTCATCACCTCTTCACTAACCCGCCCGTAAGTGCGTCTAAGAGCGCGTTCAGACTTCGCGATCGCGCGATCCGGATCGCGCGATCACAGCGATCGCGCGATCCAAATCGTGCGATCCGGATCGCGCGATCGCGAAGTCTCTAAGACAAAAAATGGGTGAGGGGGTTAGGCTGCAACGCGTCGCAATGAACTCATTGATGCATACTTCTCGGACTGAAGGTAAAACGGGTGGCGTGGCTGGCAGCTGTCATACCGTAACTGGGACGCTGCTGGCCGTAATTGCCACCTCCACCGAGCCTCTGTAGCCGTCCTCTTGGTTGGGACAACTCGTCCACGCCACTTATCACCTTGATTCTCGTAATTGATACTCGTCCCTTGAGGTAATTTCCGACTTCTTTCGCCCAACCCTCGAATTGCGCACCCTAACTTTCTGCTACCATTTGTTTGGACAACAATTCGTTTCTCTTCATTGTATATTTTGGTCCTAGCTATGACGGATGATTACAAGGCTAGTTTCATTCACTGCATTATTCTTGTTTACAACTGCGGGGGCGCGATACTATACAGCGCGGTAAGTTTGTACATTGCTTAAAAACTTTGTTCCCATGCTGTTTGCTTGCTGGAAGAGCATTAGTTTCATGACCCCATTATAGGATCATGACATATTCTGCTTCTAGTGACGACATGACATATTTCACGTATTCACTAACGTAATTAGTACACAGTACGGTAACTTCAGTAGGCGAGAAAAATCATACACCGTAATCCAAAGGGGCCGTAAATAAATCTGGATGCACATCAAACACAGTATCTCACGACAACAGCGTCAAAATTGGCTGGGAACTTACGTGTTGCGATGCGAAGGTTATCCATAGGGTTAGAACGACTCCTGGGATTAGAACGATTGCATGGAGTAGTGTTCGTAGTGTATAGGCCGCGTTTGGATTGCTCCAATGCGTACGATTCATTTTCTATTTATTGACTTTTGTACTTGTATTATTAGGTTGTGCAGCTCTCGGAATTTCTTATTACATTGCAGTGGAGTTTTTTGCACATTACTTAGGCATCTTGTTGATGCGTTTTCCAAATGAAAGTGTTGCGAAACTTTCCTGAAAATCGATTAAACTTTTAGAATAAGATAGTTTTGCATGTGTTCTCTTCCACGGGCCCCGCATTCATTTGATGCCCCGCTTCATTCCAAGTTCGAGTAGTGGTTTAAATTGCTTTAACATGTTATATGGCTAATCAGTATTTAGCCTCCTTGTCGGTGGGTCTACCTTTTGCTTGTGTTTCTGATGCCTATTCCTGTTGATTACGTTGTGATCGAGGATGAGGCGAGTCATATGTTGTCTTAGAGAGAATAACAGTACGAGTGCGAGATCGATAGTCAGCCTCCTCTTGCGAATCTTATTACAAAACGGTCACTGAATCGCGTCAACAAGCCCTATTCACAGCTTCAAGAATGAGCTCGCAGTTGGAACCTGAATCTCTAGCCATTCTAGGAGCGGTGCTGAAATGTGGAGAAAAAGTTCTGCATTGTGCAGCAAAATTCATTCACTGATCTGTTTTTAAGTTTTTGTTGTGTTCATTCCGATGCAGTCGTGATGTTTTCTAGAAAGCCTAAACAGGCTCTTTCTTTTAATCGATGGAATGAAAGAAAAACCTACTTGAATGACTTGGTTTGGTTGCGGTGAGCCTGATTCATGTTTTTTTTTGCGTTTGATCGCTTTGATGCAAAAGTAAAATTAGCTAAAATCAACTTAGCCGTTTTTAATCTTTTCAGCCGGAATCGTAAAGCATTTTTTTGTATTATCTTTTTCTTACACATAATCCCTGTTTTATTTCGAGAAATAATGCTGCAATTCAGTTTCCTCATCTTACGGACCCTTGGTGATTGGGGGCGTCTGTCAGGCCAGTTGTTGTTT